CATTAGAAGACACCATTATATTGTTTTTTTTTGTTAGTAGGTGCCTTCCAGTCAGCTGTTACTCAGAGAGATCTTATGAACAGCAGCTTTGAACCTTGCCCTATCCAGTGTCATCTCGTGATCTCTGATACACTCAACTCCTTTCCAGTCACTGTGCCAACAGATTATCCTGTCTTTTGCTGATTCTCTACCTTTTCTAGCATGAAGTCTTTTTTCCAAGAACTGGATGCTCCTACTAATATGTTTATAGTATATGGATGAAATTTCACCACCTGTGCCTTTATGGAACACCCTGGTTTATCTTCCTCCACTACAGATACTATTAATAGACGGAAAATTCAAACCACATTGGGAGAAAAGATGTGCAAATATATCTATTTGACAAAGGATTTATCACAAGAATATATTAACAAAAATAAAAGCAATAAAGGGCTCTCTGGTGGCTTAGTAGTAAGGAGTTGAGCTGGTTACTCAGAAGAATGTGGGTTGGGTTGACCAGCTGCTTTGTGGGAGAAAGATAAGAAATCTTGTCCTGTGTGATTTACTGCCTCGGAAAAGCCTCTGGAAAGTCAGCGATGAGTCAGTTTTGACCCAATGGTACTTAACAACAACAAAAGTAATAAAGGAGGGAAATCAGTTTTAAAAATGGGTAAAAGACTTGAGCAGGGACATCTCAAAGGTCTATCTAAATGTTCAATCAGTTTATGAAAAGGTGCTCAACTTCATCAGTAAACAAGAAAAGGTAATCCAAACTACAATAGCACTGCACAGTCAGAAAGTTTGCCATACCAACTGTTGGTGAGAATATAAAGAAATACATGTCTCATAAATTCCTGTTGAGATGTAAATTATACAACCACTGTGCAAATCAGTTTGACAATATTTACTTAGAAGATATATATGCAAACCCTATTTGCTCAGTAATTCTATTTCTAGGCATTTAACCAGTAGGAAAGATGACACACGTGTTTCAAAAGACATATACAAAAACACAGTAGGACTATCTTTATCAGTCCCAAACTAATGAAAATGACCATCATTAATAGAATGGGTAAATAAATAATGGCATAATCATACAATAACTTAATAAAGGGTGAAAACATAAACAAGCTATAACTATATGCAAATTGTATGGATAAGTCTTACAAATTTATTTCTCCATGGTAAAAAAGCACCCCCAAACCAAGAACCCAGATGCAAGTATGACATAGCTTTTAAACTCCATTTATGTATGTCCAAATTAAGGAATAATTTATACAGTATTTAGGGCTAAATAGGGAGCTCTGGTGGCCTAGTGGGCAAGAAGTTGTGCTGTAATCCCAAAGGCATGTAGTTCGAGGTCACAAGCTGCTCTGCAGGAGAAGGATGGGCAATCTTCTCCAGTGCAATTAACTGCCTCTGAAAACTAGTAGGAGGGTCAGCTAAGGGTTGGTTCTGACTCTATGGCACACAACAACAACAGTGGTAAGAAGTTGTGTTGCAATCCTATAGGCATGCAGTTTGAATCCATCAGCTGCTCCACAGGAGAAAGATGAGTAATCTCTACTCGTGTGTCTTACTACCTCTGAAAACTCACTAGAGGGTGAAGTATGGTTCAGCTCCAACTTGATGACATATAACATTTACAGAAAATCATATTATTGTTGTTGTTACGTGCTATCAAACTGACTACAACTCATAGTGATCCTGTGAACAACAGATCTGAACCTTGGCCAATGCTGGACCAACTTCAAGATCTCTGTCATGCTCAAGGTCATTGTGGAATTTACAGTGTCAATCCATCCCACTGAGGGTCTTTCTCAGCACAATGTCCTTCTCCAAGGACTAGGTCCCTCCAGAAAATATGCTCAAAAAAAGTGAGGCAAAGTTTCACTATCCCTGCTTATTATGGAACACTCTGGATGCACTTCCTTCAAGACAGATTTGTTTGTTCTTTTGTTTGTCCACAGGATAGTCAATATTCTTCTCTAAAACCACAATTCTTTTATTTTATGTGTGTACTGTCAAATTGTATCTGACTGGTACAGGAGGCGATTGTTCCTCCTTCTTCAGCAGAGCATCTAAAGCACTGATTCTTCTTTATTCACTGTCCAACTTTCAGATACATAGGAAGTAACTGAAAATATCACAGCTTAGTGCGGGCCCACCTTAAGACTTTAAACTGACATCTCCGCTCATTAGGACATTGGAGATGTCTTTGGCAGTAGATTTCCCCAAAGCAATACATCTTTTGATTGCTTGACTACCGCTACCATGTGTATTGAGTGTGGATCCAGGTAAAATTAAACTATTGACAACTTCAATCTTTTCCCTGTCTATCACAATTTTGTCTATTTGCCTAGTGGTGAGGATTTTTGTCTTCTTGATACTGAGATGTAATACATATTGAATGCTGTAGTTCTGATCTTCTTCAGTAAGTGCTTCAAGTATTCTTCACTTCCTGAAAGCAAGGTTGTGTCATCTGCATAATGCCAGTTATTAATGAGTCTTCCTCCAGTCCTGATGTCACATTCATCTTTGCAGACTCCAGTTTCTCAAATTATTTGCTCAGGATACACACAACCCTGATGCACACCTTTCCTATTTAAACAATATAGTGTTGTTTTGTTCTTTTTGGACAAAAGCTTCTTCGTCTATGTGTAGGTTTAACAATTAAATTTTTGGAGATTCTAATTTTTCTTCATGTTATCCATAATTTATTATGTTCCACACAGTCAAGAACCATTGTACAGTCGACAAAACACAAGTCAACATCTTTTCTGGTATTCTCTGTTTTCAGCCAATATCCGTCTGCTACCAACAATAATATCCCTTACTTTCTAAAGATTAAATATCTGTGCTCATCAAAACCTGTTTTCCAACAAGGTGAAAAGAAAACCTACTGACTTGGGAAAAAACATCTGGCAATAAAATCTCAGATAAGGGTCTCATAACAAAAATTTACAGAATACTCCTGGACCTTCAGAAGAAAAAGACTGACAACACAATTACAAAATGGGCAAGAGATATGGAAAGAATTTTCACAGAATAAGACATTCGAATGGCCAACAGACACATAAAGAAATGCTCAAAATCACTGGCAAGTAGCTGCACTGCAATCCCAAAGTCATGTGGTTTGAATCCACCAGCTGCTCCATGGGAGAAGGATAAGCAATCTCCTCCCATGTGATTAACGGCCTCCAAAAACCCACTAGAAGGCCAGGTATGGGTTGGTTCCAACTTGACGATACAGTGTTGTTGTTGTTATGTGCTGTTGAGTCGTTTGTGACTCACAGCAACCCTATGTACAACAGCCCTAAACCCCGCTCTATCCTGTGCCAATCGCACTGCCTCTGACACACCCATCCTGATTACCCCAGTCACTGAATCAATCCATCTCATAAAGGGTCTTCCCCTCTTGCGCCGTCCCTCCACCTTCCCAAGCATGATGTCCCTCTCCAAGGACCTGTCCCTCCTTGCAACATGCTCAAAGTATGTCAGACGAAGCCCCAGAATCCTTGCCTCCAAGGAGTTGCTTGGTTTAACCCTCTCCAGGATGAATCTGTTTGTTTTCCTAGCAGTCCATGGTATTCTCAATACTATTCTCCAGCACCACAGCTCAAAGGCATCAATTCTCCTTCTATCCTCCCTAGTCATTGTCCAACTCTCTGACGCATAACAAGAGAGTGCAAAGACCATGGCCTGTATCAGGCACACCTTAGTATCCAGAGAGACACCGTTGCTCTTGAGTACTTTAGAGAGTTCCCTAACAGCAGACTTTCCCATCGCAATACATTTTTTTTTATTTCCTGGCTGCTGGTGCCAAGAGTGTTGACCGTGGAGCCAAACAAACTGAAGCTGTGAACAATCTCAATCTCTTCACCATCCATCCTGATGCTACCAATTGGTCCAGTGGTGAGAATCTTTGTCTTCTTGACATTGAGCCATAGCAACATCATATATAGAAAGCTTAAATGAACTGGCATTGTTCAATTTCTCTATTTGGGTACTGATTGCATGAGTTTCAACATCACCATCATAATTCATGAAACTATAGTTTATATTTAATATTCCATAATTTTAAAACAAACACCTTACGCACATATCAGATTTTACCTTCTTGTCTTCTTGTTGTTATGCGCCGCTGAGTCGCCTGCAACTCATAGTGACCCTATGTACAATAGCCCTAACCCTTGCTCTGTCCTGTGCCAATCGCACTGTTTCTGACACACATAACCCCATTACCCCAGTCACTGACTCAGTCCACCTCATAGAGGATTTTCCTCTCCTTCAGTCTCCCTGCACCCTCCCAAGAATGATGTCCTTCTCTAAGGACTGGTCACTCCTTGCAACATGTCCAAAGTATGTCAGATGAAGCTTCAGAATCCTTGCCTCCAAGGAGCAGCCTGGTTTAACCCTCTCCAGGATGAACCTGTTCCTTTTTTCAGGAGTCCATGGTATATTCAATACTCTTCTCCAACACGACAGCTCAAAGGCATCGACTCTCCTTCTATCCTCCCTAGTCATTATCCAGCTCTCTGATGCATAACAAGTGATTGCAAAGACATGGCTTGTATCAGGCATCCCTTAGTCTCCAGAGTGACACCATTACTCTTCAGTACTTTGGATAGGTCCCTAACAGCAGACTTTCCCATCGCAGTATGTCTTTTAACTTCTTGGTGGCTGGTGCCAAGAGTGTTGACTGTGGAACCAAGCAAACTAAAGCTGTGAACAATCTCAATCTCAATTTTTCTTGTCTTATCTTCACAAAAAACAGATACTACCCCAGTAAACTGAAATAGTTAAATGCAAACAACTCTGTAACAAATACAAAGATAAGTTTTGGGAAAACTCTGGTGGCTACCCATGTGGAGACAGTGTACAAATTAGACACATGCATTCTTCCTCAGGAGGGGGATTTAACAAATTTGTCTTCTTTCATTGAAGTCTATTGAGGCTATTGCTCAAGAACTTAGACCTTCTGTCTGGAGCTGGGAGAAAGAGGCCAATATTTCCCTTACCGCATAACCTTCTGTCTTCTTCTGACACCATTTCAGCAGAGCGTTGCGCTTGGAGCCACCATATTCCCGGGCCAACGCAGTAAGAGGGTCTCTTCTTTCCACACTAGTTAGAAGAAAAGGTAGCACACAATAAAGAGAAAATGCTAATTTTTACAACTTTAATTATACAGAAATAAATAATGAGATCACAAAAGCAAATGTCTACGTAATAGCAATACTCTAAGCAAAAAGACAAATTAGTCACATTAATAATGGATCTTTTAAAATTGTGGATTATGTATATAACGTTTACCATTTCAACATTTTGTACCATAGGATTCAGCGGCATTAATTACACTCAACATGGTGTCTTGTTCATCACCATCATTAATGTCTAAATTTGTCTATTACCTTTAACACAAACCCAATGCCTCCCTTTCCTCCCTCCTGCCCACCCTTGGGAATCACTAATAAACTTTGGTCTCCATACACATGCTTACTTTAGAGATTTCACATAGGTGGAATCATATGTTCCTTGTCCTTTCGTGACTGATTTCTTTCATTCTGTATAAGAATATTGCCAATGTTCATCCATGCCAGTACATGAATTAGGACTTCCTTTCACTTGATGTCTGAGTAATATTCCACTGAATAAGGCATTTTTTTATGTCTCATGGGAGTATGATTTATATAATACTTCCATGAAACATAAAAAAAAGTGTAGATAATAACAAACTGTGGCTGACTCTGAGAAGAATGGGAATCCCAGAACACTTGATCGTTCTAATGCGAAACTTATACTTGGACCAGGAGGCAGTCGTCAG